TTTTAAATTTTTTATATTTTAAAAAATAGATATATACACGTGTGTATGCATACGTAGTGACAGAAAGAAGCAATGACCCAAAGTAATATTTTCTGTAGACCCAAAATCAGACTGTAAATACAAGGTTTAGGGATTACACGTATGCTTAGATCCTGTGCTAAGAAAGAACCAGCAACTTTTTTAAACAAGGAACAGAACTATATACTAAACATTTTTAATCCTCAAATGTGAATAATATTCAAGAAAGTAAGTCTTCGATGGTATTTTAAAGAGATGGGCATGGTATTCTCAGAGATATTTGTATTAATTTAAAAATGCTCATTTTTAAATGAGCAAGAGAACTGCTGATCTACCTGTGCTGGGGTGGCATAAGTAATTATAGGCTGTCGGAGGACTGATACAGAGAGTACGAGAGTTAAGAACAGAAACAGAATTTGTGCCAAATGGCACATTTTAATGGGAAACAGACTGTGATATTCATCCACTATTGACAATCTCAGTAAGGAACTATCTTGATGATGAAGTTTATTTCATTTAGAGAATCCTAAATTTATTACATCGTGTTTAACTAACACTAATGTAATACTAAGCATTTCACTGCTCAGTTTGAGCACGTATAGCCCCCTCTGTGTTCAGTGAAGGATCAAATTCTTCCTGCACTGAAGGATGCTACATGAGCCAATTTTTTTCAGGGCTGCAGTAACAGCAGCTGCTTTAAAACACTCCTTGGTTATTTATTCTGACCATTTCCCAGAGTTTATTACTCCACAAGCCATTAAAACATCAGAACTGCAGCTCTGGAGTGACTCGCTATAGAAAGTTGAGTGGAAACAGAGAGGCAGGGCAGGTTAAGGAGCAGGGCTGAATATCGTTGTCGGCTACGCCGGGGCTCAGCGGTGCCACGGCACAGCAGGAAATCCAGCAGCAGGAGACAGGTACTCACCAGATCAAGGAACGCTTTTCTTTCCGAGTCGAGCGTTTGGACCCGGGCCTGCAGCGCCAGGATTTCCTTGTCCAGCCTGCTGTTGTGCTCCATGGCTTTCTGTAGCTCAGCCTTGTCTGTACAGACCAGAAAAAATGGGTCACCGGCTCTGGTTTGGACCTCGACCTCTACCAGTCTCAGAGAGGGGCTGTCGCATGACTAAGATTTCTGAAATTGCAGTGTCCTTATGCAAGGTGTACACGTGCAACAGCACAGAGGGGAGCTCCCCACGGGGACACCGTCTCTTACTCACATGGTGGAGTTTATGTTTCTGGAGGTCCAGACCCAATAGCAGTGCTATGTTTATTATAGGAGCACAGCAGTCTCTCCACAGTTATTCCAGGGATTCACTTTACCTCTAGAACATGGAAAATGCCTAGATATTTAGGTTTCACAAACAACTAGGGTAAGCTTTGAAAAACCCAAACAGCCATATTTCTTATTTTCATCATGAAACTCCTGATTTGCTACAAGCAGAAGCACAATTACAGTTAATGTGTTGGCGTTGTGCTAGCATTAGTATTTATGAAATGCCCAGGACAGTGAAAGTTCTGGCTGCATACCAACCCTTCAAGGCTGAATCAATATCCATACACAACCACCACACCAATTAATGCAGCCCACCTAGTATTTCCAGTGCAAGAAACAGGAAAAGATATTGTATTGAGAGCACATTGACGGAAACATGTCCCAGTATACACAGGTATCCTAAATAACGAACAGTGAGAAGACAGTTTTCCTGAGGGAAAAGGTGAACAAAGATTTTTCCCTTTTCAGCTTAATGCCGGGCACAGGAAATTTCAGGTTAAATTCAATTTTTATTTAAAAATAACAACGTATCTTCTTTCTTGGTCCCAATCTCGGAGGGGAAACAGGAGGGAAACCACACCATACAACCCCAAACCCCTGTTTCAAACAAGGATTTTGACACTGGATTCTCAGTTTTGTAATTTAGAATAAAAGGCAAGGAACACCTTCTACCAAAGTGGTCATTTTGCTGAAAAGCCCATTTACCACTACAGAAAGCCCAGATAAAATTCTGGAACTTTCTGCTTGTAAATAGCATGACTTACCGCACCCTCCCCATTCGTTCACCCCTTCTTCCTGGCTCTTGGGTGCTTGCAGGGCTGACCACGAGGCCAATTCTACAAGGATAAAGAGACCGTTTTGCTGTGGCAGTCCATTTGTACACATCTGAACACTGAACTCTGCAGCGTTTGTAATGCACTTTGTCAAATACAGAGTTGAAATAACAGAGTTAAATACAAAGCTAAAGAAAAAATAAGTTAAAGCAACAGACAGCTAGGCACACGTTTTGAAATCTCTAATCACCAAAGACCCAATAGCTGGGTTACAAACTGGCCAGGAGCGATCTTGTACCTTCTCTTCAATGCAAGCAAGCAGCAAGTTATTACTGACCCAAAATATACTGCTTAGGTGGAGTTTTACTAAAGATCAGAGATTTCATACTGTACTGCAATACCAGTTTATTTTCAGAGCAGTTCGCTCTGAAGCTCATCGGGAAGGGAAGGCATGCAGATATACATCATCAGGAAACCCACGAAGATGTTACCGCACTAACTTTGCACACTAATACATAATAAACCACACAGACACAACAAGCATTAAACTCTTACTCACAGTTTGGAAAGCCTTACATTCATTTGATACTTAAGAATATTATAAAACACAGATTTCCCCACGCAGGCCACGATCCACTGAGAAGAGTCACACACAGCAGCCCGTCCGTGATCCGGAGAAGCAGTACGGTCTGGAGGCTGCAACACAACGCTCACTCCATCCCCAGGGACACGTGTATCAATCGATACACAAAGCAGATGCCCGCAGAGTGCACATTTCCCTGCCCTTGATTAAAAGGCTGCAAACGATGGGTTTGGAGGCTGGCTAGGTTTCGCTAGGGCTGAGCGTTGTGCGTGAGTCGCGAGGTCAGCATCACACATAAACCCTACCTAGGTGGCACCAGCCTCCTCAGGTGAGTCAGTCTCTGCAAAGACACATGGGGGCAGGAACATGTTATCGCATTTTGCTCTTCTCCACTGAAATTCTGCATCCTGGATTTTGGGACAACGTAAGCAGTCCCAAATCCCAGAGAAAAAACATCAAGAAACCAGTGTTTTGCTCAAGAAATCTCCTGTAGGAGGCAACGGTGAAGCACCAGTCTTTAGGTGCTCCGATAGCAGCTTTATCAAGTAGTTTGATTTTCCTCTGGAAAACTGTTTATTTCTATAGTCATTGTTTTAAAAATACTAATACTTAAGGGCTGGTCAACAAGAGTTATTTCAATCAGGAGGTTAAGCAAATACTAGGAGCGGTAAGAACCCAACCACTCGCCTCAAGACAGCTGATAAGCTCCGATTATGAGCGCTTGCTAACAACCCATAATGAGACAGCAACCCAAATATAATGTCTGAAGAACCTCAAGGTGAGCGATCCAGCCATGCTAACTCTGCGTACACGGTGTTTTAGATACTCTGGACCAAGTCATCATTCCCTTTCCACCCCCTCCTAGGGCATGCATTTCTCCCTGTATGAGACAGGAAGGAGTTAGTTAAGGCACTGCTGCTGTAATCATGGATCAGATAACCTTGTCTCTTGGCTTTTCCCACTCAGAATTAATTGACTGGGGACTGTTACCAACTGCATTCAGACCTCCTAAGTACCAGGCTAAGATCTGACCCTGATTTTTCCACATTATGAGCAGAGATGACGCAGGAAAGCCTGCCTCCAGCTCCCTGGGGGAGATGTCCAAAGCTTACCCTAACCAGGGCTGGGCTAAGAGCAGGCCAGTAATTGGGAGTGGCCACAAGAAGTGCTTACCTTGTTTTCTCTGCTCCTTTCTTTGTGCGCCCAGCTCTTCTGTCAACCTCTGGATCTCTTCCTGGGCCATCAGCAGCCTCTGTGTGGCCTCATCTGGATCTCGTTCAACTCTTGCAAGTGATGCTTGTTCCCTCTCCAGCTCTTCCCTGCAGGACTGAAAGACAAGGGCTAATGCTTCAATGGAGATGAGATAACCCCTCCCGGTGACGTGACCGAGGCAGGTCCTGAACCCTGCACTCCTCCCGACCTGCCAGAGCAAGGGTGGCAACACCAACAGAAAGCAGGTGAACTCGGGTAAGCTACTGCAGAGGCAGAAGACAGACACGCAGTGGATAACCCTCTTCACCATGGACATATATGCCAAAAAGCAGGCACTGAACAG